ACAAATTTTATTCATATATATCGATAAAAAACTAAATTTACTTCATTTTTGTATTACTTTTCTAGTAATTAGGAAAATAAGAATTATAAAAAAACACCTGATTTTCTTTGAACAAAATTATTGCCACACTAGGTAATAGTGAACTATTTTTTCGACAATTCATCGATATGGCTACATTTTTCTAAAAAAGCTCCGTTTTCTTAATTTTCGGAATCGCGTGGCTATACATTTTCAAGCTAAAGACCACGCAGTGCATAATCAAATGATGGATAGAAGCCGTTTTACCATTCGAAGCATTGTCCAGCAATTTAAAGGAGTCCCATCGTTGTAGAGTGCTATGCACATTGGTCAACCCAGGAAAGTGAAGGTGGAAATCTCCTCAACACAGATTGCAGCTGAAGTTAAAAATGAATTTGGAAAAGATATTCACCTTATTCGGCACGAAGCTAACTACAAAAGCCGCGTGGCTAGAAGAAAACCACTTATTTCCAAAGTCAAGCAGCAGAAGCGTTTAGCCTATGTAAAAGAACATTTGACTAAGCCAACAGACTTTTAAAACAATGTCATCTTCCCCGATAAAAGTAAACTTACCATTTTTCAATCTGATGGCCTAATACGGAACTCCATTAAATGAACCAATTCTTTATGATTATTTTTATCATTTTTGGTTAATTTTTATAATTACTAGAAAAGTCATATCAGAATGAAGTAAAGTTAATGTTGTTGTAAATTTGTCGATATATATGAATAAAATTTGTTTTATTTAAATGTCTTATTTTTTAGTGGAGAAAAGCTATGTTAAAGTCAGACATGTCAACTTTGCCAATTATTATGTTAGTCACTTGCATATGTTATAATACCCGTTATTCGTAGAGTAAAAGGGTATATTTTAATCGGTGAAAAATAAGCAACAGGAAGAAGGAAACGTTTCCAACCCTATAAGGTATATATGTTCTTGATCAGGATCAATAGCCGACTCGACCTAGCCATGTTCGTATGTCTGTCCATCTGTCTGTCTGTCCGTCTGTGCGAGATTTTGGAAACTATAAAAGCTAGAGATTTGTGATTTGAAATCCAGATAATAGTATTTCTTACTCAGCGCAAGTTTATTTCAAAACGGAGCCACGCACACAAATCGCGATACACTAAACCCTGACAGACGTGTTGGGGGTGCTGTACGCTTTTAGCTTCTAGTGTTGGCTATGCAGTTCGACATATGGCGCCAACTAAACTCCGATTTTGTTAGGGAATATTTAGTTTAAAATTTGTTATCCGAGTAACGGGCGTCTAATTATCGGGGATCACGACTGTAGCGTTCATTATTGTTTTCTTATTAATTTCCGGATGTTTCCTCAAACATCTATATGATTTTTGTAAAATGAATAACGAATTTCTGAAAATTAAAAAAATGACTGTGTTTGTTTAAAATAATACCACTTTGTTATACATTTTACACAAATGCAGAATGTATTCCTAAGGGAGACATTTCCGACCCCAATTAGTATATATATTATTGATCAGCCTCACTAGGTGTGTCGATCTAGTCATGTCCGTCTGTCCGTCCGTTTCTACGCAAACTCGTCGCTCATCTTTAAAGCTATATGGATGAAACTTTCCCACCCCTCTACATATTCCAGGTAGTATATAAGTCGGAATGGGTTGGATCGGTCGGTTATACGATATAGCTCCCATTGGAAAACCCGGAAAAATAAATGAAGCAAAATAATAACTTTGTATTTCAATTTATTTAAACATACTTAAATATATTATTTCAAGGTTACGGTTTTAATTATATCCTTGCAGAGGGTATTACAATTTCAGTCAGAAGTTTGCAACGCAGTGAAAAAGACATTCCCGATCTATAAAGTATAAATATTCTTGATCAGCATCACTAGGAGAGTCAATCTAGCCATGTCCGTCTGTTCGTCTGTCCGTCGGTCTGTCCGTCCGTCTGTCCGTTTGTCCGTCAGTTTCTACGCAATCTAGACTCTCAGTTTTAAAGCTATCTGCATGAAAGTTTCCCAAAAGTTGTCTTCCTTTTGCCTGTAGTACATTAGTCGTAATGAGCCGGATCGGGCGACTATAGCATATAGCTCCCATAGGAACAATCGGAAAAAAAAATGAAAAAAAAATATAACTTTGCTATTTTTTAATTTTATTTTAGTTCTTCGACATTTAGTAATGATTACATTGGCTTACATGTGGCTTACATTTTCACAAAATCGGACGACTATAACATTAAGCTCCATGGGAACAATAAAAATATTAAAAAAGAAAAAATTTAACTATTTTATTTTGTAATTTTTTTTTTTAATTCTTTTGACTTATTAATAATTTGACAGTTCAGAATTAAAATCGAAAACGATATCATATAGCTGCAAACTATCGAATAATTGAGCTGCAAATCATCATAGCTTCCATGTTTTTATACCCTTGCAGAGGGTATTATAATTTCAGTCAGAAGTTTGCAACGCAGTGAAGGAAACGTTTCCGACCCTATAAAGTATGTATATTCTTGATCAGCATCACTAGTAGAGTCGATCTAGCCATGTCCGTCTGTCCGTCCGTCTGTCCGTCCGTTTATATGCAAACTAGTCTCTCAGTTTTAAAGCTATCTGCATGAAACTTTCCCAAAAGTTGTCTTTCTATTGCAGGTAGTATATAAGTCGTAATGAGCCGGATCGGACGACTATAGCATATAGCTCCCATAGGAACAATCGGAAAAATAATTGAAAAAAAATTATAACTTTGTTGTTTTTTAATTTTTTGTTTAGTTCTTCAACATATAGCAATGGTTAAATAATTCAGAATTATGGTTTAAATTTCATCAAAATCGGACGACTATAGCATATAGCTCCCATAGGAACAATCGGAAAAATAATTGAAAAAAATTATAACTTTGCTGTTTTTTAATTTTTTGTTTTGTTCTTCGACATATAGCAATGGTTAAATATTTCAGAATTATGGTTTAAATTTCATCAAAATCGGACGACTATATCATATAGCTCCCATACAAATAATAAAAATATATAAAAGAACAATCAAATAATTAAGCTGCAAATCGTCATAGCTTCAATGTTTTTAAACATATACGCAAGTAAATCATAATTTTAATGTTTTCAAAAATATTTAATTCTTGCGATAGCTGCAAGGGTATATGAACTTCGGCTTGCCGAAGTTTGCTTTCTTTCTTGTTAAACATAAACGCAAGTAAATCATAATTTTAATATTTTCAAGAATATTTAATTTTTGCAATAGTTGCAAGCTTCGATTTTCCGAAGTTTGCTTCCTTTCTTGTTTTTAATTATTTTTTCTTATTGTACCTATATCCGCTATATGATATAGACATCCGATCCAGATAGCTTTAAAACTGACTAGCTTGCGTGGAAACGGGTTGACAGAAGGACAGACGTCCATGCCTATAAAAACTGGTCTTGTACTGCTGATCAAGAAAATATACTTTATTGGATCGTAAATGTGCTTAGCATGAAATTAAATATCCTCATACGGGTATGACACTACATTGTTTGCCTCATTAATTGTATGGATTCATTGAAGCTCAGAGACAGAGACAACTATATGGTTACTTCTTGTGATTTTTATACCCTTGCAGAGGGTATTATAATTTCAGTCAGAAGTTTGCAACGCAGTGAAGGAGACATCTCCAACCCTATAAAGTATATTTATTCTTGATCAGCGGGTCGTCTAGCCATATCCGTCTGTCCGTCCGTCTGTCCGTCTGTCCGTCCGTTTATATGCAAACTAGTCTCTCAGTTTTAAAGCTATCTGCATGAAACTTTACCAAAAGTTGTATTTCTATTGCAGGTAGTATATAAGTCGGAACGAGCCGGATCGGACGACTATAGCATATAGCTCCCATAGGAACAATCGAAAAAATAAATAAAAAAAAGTATAACTTTGCTGTTTTTTAATTTTTTTTTTTATTTCTTTGACATATAGTAATGGTTAAATATTTCAGAATAATGGTTCAAATTTCATCAAAATCGGACGACTATATCATATAGCTCCCATAGGAACAATCGGAAAAAAATGAAAAAAATAATAACTTAGCTGTTTTTTAAGTTTTTTCTTAGTTCTTCGACATATAGTCTTGGGTAATTATTTCAGAATTATGGTTTAAATTTTATTAAAATCGGACGACTATATCATATAGCTCCCATAGAAATAATAAAAATATATAAAATAACTATCAAATAATTGAGCTGCATATCATCATATCTTCAATGTTTTTAAATATATACGCAAGTAAATCATAATTTTAATGTTTTCAAAATGATTTAATTCTTGAAATAGCTGCAAGCGTATATGAACTTCGGCTTGCCGAAGTTTGCTTTCTTTCTTGTTTTCGTAATAAGTTCACGGTAACACTGCCTTTTTAACGTTAAATTCAAACTTAATTGTTTTGTTTATTATGTTGTTGTTTATCCCGCTAATTTTAACGTTTAAAGGTTTTCAATTTTAACTTTAAATGGTAAAAAATATTTTGTATATTTATTATTATTATTTATTTAAGCGTCACTTTTTCATTCCGTTTTGAAGTCAACTGCAATAAATGAGCAACATTTTACCTTTTAAAAACAATTTTGCTTATTTTTGTATCGGCCCCGGCGGTATGTTTTCTGAATGTTTTTTTTTTTTACCCAATCCCGTCTAGTATTTTACTATCGGGTTTCGGGTTCCGTCAGTTTTCTTCATTCTTCGTCGGGCTCATTGGAATCGTCATACGTTTTTCTTGCTCGCACTTACGTAAAATTGTATAGTTAAAAAAATTAGCAAAGATTAAGGCCAACAATGTAGTGTCATAAGCAGGGGTACAAAAATACTATCGAAAATGAACATTTTACGGCTATTACTGTATTTCAAGAAAGTTTATCCTTAATGTTATTATAACAACTGCTTGGCTTAAACTGATGAGAATGTTATGCACACGCATTTGTTGTTCACTCGGCTATTGCATTGTTAAACCTTAACATCCACAGGCACGGAATCCGTCGAACAAAAAGCAGCTTCGGCAAGTACAAATCTTAAAATCGGCGAGAATAGTACTTTCCTTTTTGATGACTATAATAAAACTAAAACAACATTATCAACTGCCGAATACCTGTCAGCCACAAGAGCAACTCTATACGCGTTTTCGTCGCAAAGCCAGGACCATTCCCAAATGCCAGTAAAAGCGTCGAGCTCGTCCCTTAGCGCTATCCCAACGAAAAAAAGTCGCGACAAAAAACCGATGGAAACACCAGGTGGCTTTGACACTAGCAGTAGCCCTTTAATCAAAAAATTAACAGACATTACTTGGCGCTCAGGAACCACAGATCAGCTACCGACAGTGACAATGCCAACAACATCATTTGCATCCCTGAAAGTCGATAGGAGCACCATAAAGCAGCCTATCGATTCCACGCGAACGAGAAATCATTGGACAGCAGGTGGTACGACTGAATAAAAACCAAAAACAGTGACAGTTTTTGAAAACCTTATGAAAACTTTTCACAGGATTCGCCCGTGTTACAGAACGACCACGGACTAAGCACCACCACGAGCACCACTGGGGACCTTTCTTCGAGGAGCCCCTCAGCTCGGCAGCCTCGGGCGACAACCTTATTTCCGCCGTGCATTTGTTTACGGAGGCAGTGCTTAATTGCCGTGTTGGTATGCTCAAGGACAAGACAGTAAGTAAGCTTTATTTTGAAGCATATCCCTGCAAGATATCGCTTTTGTAAGAATTTTTATATGTACAGTGGGCAAAAAAGTTTGCGAAGATTTTGTATGAAATTTCAGTGCAAAGAGAACTTAAACTTATTTTGCCCACTGTGTGTACATTTGAATGAAATTCATAAAATGATATGAGCAGATAAGCAAGTCGTGTTAAAGTCAGCTGCTTTTAAGTAATCAAACAAGATGAACAAGGTACAATTATACATTTCAATCGTCAAAAACGAACAGGGAAACTAACAAAAACCGCTTGAATGGATTTATTCTATCTACTTTTTTTAATTTCAGATTTCAATATATTTTATTTATTTAATACTCAGATTGCGAAATTTATTTTTTATAGAGTGACTGAAGTTTTGGGAACTCATCTAAACTGTATGTGTTCTTAAAGCCTCATACTAAGATCGACGAACAGTTTCGCCAGCGAAAAAACTTTATTTTTTCTAATGAGACCGATGTTTTCAGGGTTCACCCGAGCTCGTGTGCTTCGGTCATACGTCAATCAGCTGGGCTTGTTGACAAACAAATTAATTCGAGATAGCAAAATCAAAAGATGTTGTACTCTTTTAATAAAAATACACATTAAAATGGATCGTAAATCTTTTGTTGGTGCCGATTTTTCTGAGGTGTTTTGAAGTTATTTCCCTTAATTTTTAGATCAACTTCATAAGATTTATTTTTTTAATCTTTTCCCAGAGTTTCTTCAGACTGCTCCGAATTTTTATTTCTTTTAGTAATAAACCCACGGTGGGATTTATCATAATTGATGTTGATCGGTTTCTTAATATACCAACTATAATATTTCGTTTACTTCGCGAGTTAAAAATATCTGTTTAGTTATAAAAACTAACAAAACTTTTTAAACATTTGTGTTTCTTTTCTGTGTTTTTGTGATATTGCGGGGTTTCCTTTGGGCGTTTTCTGCTCACGATCACTAACCATACAACATATAGACTGGTCATTTCATACGACGCATTTGGACACAAAAAAACGTACCTCGGGAGGTCTCCCGTGCCACTAACCATACAACATATAGACTGGTCATTTCATACGACGCATTTGGACACAAAAATTCGGACCGCGGAAGGTCCACCGCTCTCACAGCAGCAGGTCCATGCACTTCGTGTGCGTTCGGGTTTTTTACTCTCTCATTCTTATTCTCATTTTTATGCTCGCGCACTCATTGCACGAGTTCAGTCGTTCAGTCGCAGAGAGGCGCTTTTTGAAGAAGGCTGCCCTGCGCTTGAATTCGTCTTTGTATGTATGCGTGATCATGCATTCTCATACACGGGAGCATGTGTGCGTTTATTTCATTTCGGCGCATCAAGAATATTTTGTCTTTTGCCACTTTTCAAACTTGGTACCCTAAGAATATGGGCGTATTTACTATTGGGTTATGATTTAAATATTAATATTATATGTTAAAATATATTTTTTTAATATTTCAGCATACATTTTATTTTTGTTTACAAATTCAAATCAGTGGTAGCAGTAAAATGTTTTACATATATGTATGTATTCGAATTTATAGAAATCAGTCCACTGAGATCGGAACAGGGCATATCGCAGTCGTGTCACTTGAAACACCGACTGCTCTTCAGTGGTTGAGAAAACTTCAAACTAAATCAATTCTTGTCGATGTTTTGCGAGCGGTTGGTGCCTGCATACCCTACCGACGATTGCTTTTAAGGGGAGCGGGCTTTTAGGACACTTGTTTTAAATGTTATGTTTAGTGATCTTTGGTTGATTTATTTTTTAATGATTCGCAGTGTTATTTTAATTTAATATAAACAAGTAATAAATAATAAAATACTTTTTATATTTTTGAAAATTTAAATGGAACAAATATAAAAATCTACATTTTTTTAATGATAATAATTTATTTTAATGATTATAATTTTAGATTTTAATTGTACCAATATCTTGAATTTTAACGAATTGTTTAAAGACAATTAAAAAATAAATCAACCAAAGATCACTAAACATAACATTTAAAACAAGTGTCCTAAAAGCCCGCTCCCCTTAAAAGCAATCGTCGGTAGGGTATGCAGGCACCAACCGCTCGCAAAACATCGACAAGAATTGATTTAGTTTGAAGTTTTCTCAACCACTGAAGAGCAGTCGGTGTTTCAAGTGACACGACTGCGATATGCCCTGTTCCGATCTCAGTGGACTGATTTCTATAAATTCGAATACATACATATATGTAAAACATTTTACTGCTACCACTGATTTGAATTTGTAAACAAAAATAAAATGTATGCTGAAATATTAAAAAATATATTTTAACATATAATATTAATATTTAAATCATAACCCAATAGTAAATACGCCCATATTCTTAGGGTACCAAGTTTGAAAAGTGGCAAAAGACAAAATATTCTTGATGCGCCGAAATGAAATAAACGCACACATGCTCCCGTGTATGAGAATGCATGATCACGCATACATACAAAGACGAATTCAAGCGCAGGGCAGCCTTCTTCAAAAGCGCCTCTCTGCGACTGAACGACTGAACTCGTGCAATGAGTGCGCGAGCATAAAAATGAGAATAAGAATGAGAGAGTAAAAAACCCGAACGCACACGAAGTGCATGGACCTGCTGCTGTGAGAGCGGTGGACCTTCCGCGGTCCGAATTTTTGTGTCCAAATGCGTCGTATGAAATGACCAGTCTATATGTTGTATGGTTAGTGCTAATACTATGTACTACAAACCACGTCACGGAAACACATATGATATCTACACCAGAGTTTACAAACATATAGCTAAGCTCTTCGATTTTTATTGGCAGACTATGAGCGTTAAGACTTTTAAGACTAGATTTCTGCTTTATGAGTATGCGCAGAAGGGTATGGCTATTTGAGACTTCGACGCTGTCTTTCATGGCAAGAATTTAAGCAAAATTATTAGTTGCGCACGCATTGTGGATGAAAACAAACATTGATAAGAACATTAAGTAAACAAAACGACCTACGTTTATTTTAAATATAACGAATACTAAAATATTGAATTTATGACAGTAGGAGAGTCAATCTAGCCATATCCGTCTGTCCATTTGTCCGTCCGTCCGTCCGTTTCTACGAAAACTAGTCTCTCAGCTTTAAAGCTATCTGCATGAAACTTTCCCAAAAGGTGTCTTCTATTACAGGTATAACATAACGAGCCGGATCGGACGACTTTAGCATATAGCTCCCATAGGAACCATCGAAAAAGAAATTTAAAAAATCATAGCTTTGTCTTTTTTAGTATTATTTTATTATTCTAGAATTACGGTTTAAATATGATCAAAATCGGACGACTATATCATATAGCTCCCAAGGGAACAATTACGCTTTTAATTTTATTCATTTCGGAAAACTATATCAAATAGCTGCCATAGGAACGATCAAATAATTTAGCTGAAAATCATCATAGCTTCAATGTTTTTAAACATATATGAATATAAATCGAAATTTAGACATTTTAAAGAATATTTCGTTTTTGCAATAGCTGCAATGGTATAAACATCGACTTGCCGAATTTTGTTTTTTTTCTTTTTTTTAAGATGCTTAAATTAAAAATCACGAAAGTAGCCTTAAAGCTTAAAGCTTATAAGACACTATCACAATTTTGTAACTTTTATTGAAAAATTACACAGGACAACAAAATAAAACTTTGTAAAAGGTGCAGGCTTATCTGCTCAAAATAATGTTAATACTACTACTACTGAACACTTGATTTTCGTTTGTAACGCGTTGTATTTGTGGTACAACATTAAATGTTTTGATTTAAGATATCTTAGAGAGTGGACATTTCATTTCATTAAGAGGCATGTAAACTCCGAAAATTTCCAAACATAGTCTTAAAAATAAGTCTTAAGTAAAAATTACCTAGAAAATTAAATAGAGCTTTAAGGTATTATTGAGGTCATGTTTTTCTAAATTTATATGGCAGGCTTAGCTTTAGGGCCATGTTTGGTCCCTTATTACTTAAATTAGGGAATTTTTCCTAAAATCAACAAATTTTTTTTGCAAGTAATTAAATAGTTTACATATATGTTTTTCTTTAGATTTGCATTTAGTTTTCCATCATTTTATGAATAAAACCAAACTTTTGTGTATTCTATAAGTAAAACAAAACGTATGGGTGCTTTGTTTCACGTCTTGACCTCTATTTCTACAGAATTTGAGCTGACGAACAGCTTTTAAGGATATGAACCAAAATGTGTACTTTTAATGACATTTATTTACCACATTTATTTTAAATTCCGGATTAAACCTAATGGCCCTGTGTAAATAAATGCGCATTAGGCTAAATGCGTTTTAATGAGCCAATTGAATCAGACTATAAGATACCAAATTTGTTCATTTGTAGAATTTATTTTGAACCATTGGTTTGGAAAAAATAGCAAAATTAATTTTTCAAGCGGTTATCCATAGCGCAGTATTGCGTCGTGGGTTCACTTCGTTTTGTTGATAAATGTGTAGTAATATAGTAACAACGTGTCTACTAGGGTAAAAGCTTCAGTTTGCCGAAGTAAGCTATCTTTCTCATTTCATTCGAATATTTTTATTAGCAAAAGAAATTCAAAATTTAGAACTTATTAATTTAATCATATACAAGAACCCATTTCAGTAGCATTACTTGTCTTTGCTAATGATATTGTCGATTTATAACAAAATTAACGCTTTAGTCACAACTAGATACTATAGCTGACATAAGGATTTTTTTTTAACAGCTGCATTCTCGTTTTTATACCCTTGCAGAGGATATTATAATTTCAGTCAGAAGTTTGCAACGCAGTGAAGGAAGCATTTCCGACCCTATAAAGTATATATATTCTTGATCAGCATCACTAGGAGAGTCGATCTAGCCATGTCCATCCGTCCGTATTTCCGTCTGTCCGACCGTTTCTACGCAAACTAGTCTCTCAATTTTAAATCTATCTAAATAAATCTTTCCCAAAACGTATCTTTCGTTGCAGGTAGTATATCATTCAGAACGTGCCGGATCGAACGACTATAGCATAATAACTCCCATCGGAACAATTGGAATATTAAAAAAATAAATTAATCGAAATTGTATATTCTCTAATTTTAAATTTTTGTTTGTAATTCTTTTTGACATATAAATAGTTTAGTTGGGTGAAAATGATCATTCTATTCGTTTTAATGAGTACTCATTTAATTCGAAATTCAGATGCTTAAATTATGTTTTTTTTTATTTTTGCAATAGCTGCAAGGGTATATAAACTTCGGCTTGACATAGCTTGCTTTTTTCTTGTTGTTTTATATTTTAACAACCATACCAAATATAAATTTTGTGGTAAGGCTGAGGACTTAATTTAAAAAAAAACGTAAAAATAGTTAAACGCATTATTGTAATTTAAAATAAAATGTACCATTTTTTAATATTCAGGGAGATGGTATCTCCACAAGGCTGCTTGAAAATGTAAGGAAAGAAAACCAAACAAAAGCTGGACACAATGGGAAAAAAGTTGCGACTTATAACTTGACAAGCCATGTCTCTAAAACCTTCCGATTTCCTTATAAAACACTAAAATATAAAAATGAAACCCCTAAAATATACCTAAAAGAGCAAATTAGCCCCAAGCTAAATTTGAACAAAAATGTTTTGATAATGACTTACAAAGAATTATTAGGCACAAGCAAGAATGCATTGATGCTTTCTAATGATGAAAAATCGAAAGGACTCATTCAGGAGAATTACATTTTTAATAAGCGGCTTTTTTTAATAACTGATGAATTTCTCTCTACAAAAATCGTACAGGTAATACATTTAATATTTTAAGCATGGTATATGTAATAACTATTTATTTATAGCCTTTAGACTTGAATGTGCTGAACAAAATCAACAAAAGACTTAAGGATCTTAAAAAAAAGTATATTTTGCAAAAGGTAAATTAGTAGCTACAACTAATGCATTCGGCCTTTAATTTTATTGGGGTTGAAAAGGGATTTAGTAATGCCATGGGTTTCACCGAAATGTTCAGTGTGCATGGTTCTGTATCCCAAGATTTCGGTCACCAAAAACACAGGTACTTTTCCCTATACCTAAAAAATAACCTTTGTATACACATAGATAGGATAACGGAATTTCTAATTTTAACTAGAAACTATCCTGACGGCTGAGAGGCAGAGAAAGAGAGAAAATCTCTCTTAGAAACATTTGACTAGCTCAACTAGATACTAAATTATTTTATAACATGTATATTAATAATTTCAAGTCAGAGCGCCTTAAATTAAAAGACCGTAATTATATATTATATTTATTAACTATATATTTTAATTATATATTATAATAATATTATTCTTAAACAATTTAAACTGTCTAATTAAAATTTTAAAATATATATTATTCATAAAAAAAATTAACTGACGATTTTAAATTTTTATCATATTCTTACATAGTTAAAATTATTAAGAAAAAATGTTGTTTGTTATTTATCATATTTTTAAATCAACTCCAGCGCTCAACCGGTACAAATACAGCGCCTGCGCTACCGGATTAAATGTTATGTAATGTAAAACAAAAAATCCAGGCTGTTACTTAACATATTTTAAAATCAGATCCTGATCTCAACAGAATCAAAAACAGTTTCAGCGGTTAACCTGTTCAAACGACTATTTTACATTCCAGAATTTTACATTAGTTCACTTTTTCGCCGCCAGGGAGCGACAATGAGAGTAAGGATATATGCAACCCGCCAAACGGCCAAAGCGCATTCTATGTCTCAGTATGCGCGGCTTAGCTCGTAAAGCGTCATCTAAGAGTCATTTATTTTGGGTTGCGTCTTGACTATATGGGGATCAATTTGACAGGATCCCTTTGAAAACTGTGAGTTTTGGGCTATATTTTGATATTATAAATAAGTGTCAATGAGTAAGAAAGTAAGTGTCAGCAAGTAGAAATTTTTTTTTAAATAAAACATTTTCTTTATTTTCCTAAATTATATCAAACAAAAACACACCTTACAATATTTTGGATATCAAATTTGGTGACGAAAAATGATTTAACTTTCGACTAAATAATTATATTTAAATTTGCTCTCACTCGGCTGCACCAAATAATGTAACCTTGTTGCCCACACAGGCAGCGTGCGGCGTGTTTTATTTCCGACCCTGTAAAATATATACATTCTTGACCAGCATCACGACGAGCGTTGATCTAGCCATGTCAATAAATCATTATAGCTTTCGTGGTTTTTAACTAGTACTCAAATAATTCGCATTTTTGTTAGCTGCAAGGGTATATAAACTTCAGCTTGCCGAAGTTAGCTTCTTTTCTTGTTTTAGATATTATTTCCTTTTTTGATGACTATTAAGGGGATCTTTCTTCACATTTTTTGAAAAATTGACTTTTTTATGCGTGGAATGTGTGTTGAAGGATTTTTCGCTATGATAAATATATCTCGTATTATTCCATTTTCGCATGATTTCTCGTTATAACTTGTCAAATAAGAATATTCTTGTATAGCTTTTAACGCAATTTACTCGAAAAAAAATTTTTTTTTCAAATGATTTTTTGTTTTTTTGTTTTTTTTTTTTTTTTTTGAATTTAGATAGATTTACAAATAAAACAGTATATTCCTATGTCATTTCAATATTAAAAAAAATTCTCAAACTTTAATGTATTTTTGACCAAATCTGAATAAAGGTATAGGTCCCCTTAAATAGTTTTACTCGATTTTTACCAATTCTAGGTTTCATTTAACTAGAAATACTTTAACTTTAAAAAAAAATTGAAAATTAAAAATAAAACGTTTAAATAGGCCAAATTTAACAAAAATTCAACAAAATGTGTCTGAGGCAAATTGGTGTTGCTCCTGTTTCAATGCCATAATCTTAATGGAACAATCAAGATTGGAAGCAAATGTAATAATGTACACAACGACAACAATTTTCGCCCAAATTTTAATTTAAGCAGTTGAATTTTTCCTGAAAATGCCCATATACCATTCTTAACTAAGGTTACGATTCTTAACTACGTATACAACAAGTTGTTGCATGTCGAATAACTATAATATTTAGTTTGTTTTCGTGTTTCCCAAAAAAATAAAAAACATCAATTACAGTTTAGGTGAAATATCAGACTGTGCTTTATCCCAGTAAACAAGTTGTATACTCGAAAGGCAGTCAAGGCGACGTATCCGACCATAACACCAGGCGAGCCGATAAAAAAATGTTCGTCTGTCTGTCTCTCGTTTTTAAACGCTTCAAGCTATTTGAATAAACTTCCATAACTTGAAATACCATTAGCAAACCAAAAAGTTTCAGAGATTTATATTTAGAAATGGGCTACTATACGTGTATCTATGATTTATTTTGTGTTATGTTTTCCGAGCTCACGGCATAAAAGTCAACATTTTTAATGGGCTGTCCATATATTAAGAAATCAAGTTTTCGATGTATGTATATCGACTTCAATATAGGGTTGCATTCGGAACATATTGGCGGTGTAATTGCCGCGAAATAAATTTTTGAATAATTGCTTTTAAGAAAAAAACTCTTTATAAAATGATAACGTAATCATTGTCCAAGACACCCTCCCTCCCCATATAATCAAACATAATCATTTCCTTGACACCCGCCAGCTTTCGAGAAATCGAGTTATGGAAGTTCGATTTTAGGAGATACATTTTTTTGTTTGAGCAATCGAAATTCGAGTTAGCGAAGTTAGAGGCAACGGAGTTCGACTGTATTTATATACCCGTTACTTGTAGAGTAAAAGCGAATATTGTATTTGTTGAAAAGTATGTAACGGGTAGAAGAAAGCGTTTTTGAATTATAAAGTATATACATCCTTGATCAGGATCAGTAGTCATGTCGCTCTAGTCATGTTCGTCTGTCCATTTGTTCGATGGATATACCTGCAAACATTTATAATGGTTGTAATTCATAATTTTACATTATAAATACTACACTCAAAAACTTTGTTTATTACATATAGAAAAAAAATTGTTCCTACGTTAAAAAAATGCATAAAAATAAAAAAAAAAATATTTTCTGTGTCTTAACAAAAATTTTTATAAAAAAAGAATTTTGAGAAAATATTTGTTAAACTATAGGAATTATTTTCAATTTTCTTAAATTTAAGGCGTTTTTTCTAAGCTGCCTCTTCCGGATTTTCTATACTTATAAATACTAAAATTGCAAATAAATTCACTAGCCACTTTTAAAATGGAGAAAAACGAGTTTAAGTTTAGATAAATTTGTACATATATTGAAATCTACTTTCTAAAATACGATATATTTTTTTAACAGTTCCTATTATTAATGCTTAAATTAAGAAAAATACCCTTATAATTAGAAAAGAATTTTCTCAAATGTTTAGCCTAGGGGGTTAATGTCTTGGAACATCAAACATTGCGTAGCTATTCTGGACCTCAGTTCAAATCCTCTTCTTTTGGAATTGTTCTGTTATTTATTTGTTACTCGGCTGACTAGTTACAAAAGCAATTTTATTGCATATTTTTATACCCTTGCAGAGGGTATTATAATTTCAGTCAGAAGTTTTCAACGCAGTGAAGGAGACATCTCCGACCCTATAAAGTATATATATTCTTGATCAGCATCACTAGGAGAGTCTATCTAGCCATGTCCGTCTGCCGTCCGTCTATCCTGTGTGTGCAGCTATTTCAAAAACTAAATACTCTTTAAAACGTTTAAATTATGATTTACTTGCGTGTATGTTTAAAAACATTGAAGCTATGATGATTTGCAGCTTAATTATTTGATAGTTCCTATGACAGCTATACGATTGTTCCTATGCTATAATCGTCCGATTTTGATGAAATTTAAAACGTAATTCTGAAATATTTAACCATTAATATATCTCCAAGAACTAAAAAAAATTGAAAAACAACAAAGTTATAATTTTTTTTATTTATTTTTATGATTGTTCCTATAGCTATATGCCATAGTCGTCCGATTTTGATGAAATTTAATTTAAATATAGCTCCCAAAGGAACAATCATAAAAATAAATAAAAAAAATTATAACTTTGGTGTTTTTTAATTTTTTTTAATTTTTTTAATAGTAATGGTTAAATATTTCAAAATTACGGTTTAAATTTCATTAAAATCGGACGACTATAGCATAAAGTTCCCATAGGAACAATCGTATAGCTGCCATAGGAACTATCGAATAATTAAGCTGCAAATCATCATAGTTTCAATGTTTTTAAACATACACGTAAGTAAATCATAATTTTAACGTTTTCAAGAGTATTTAGTTTTTGAAATAGCTGCAAGGGTATATGAACTTTGGCTTGCCGAAGTTTGCTTCCTTTCTTGTTCTCTTTGAATTCTTATACGGGATTTGCGCAAAGTTGAATGTGATGACATTGTGGCGCAACCGGCTTATGCGTCTACGAATCCTAAGATCCTAGTTCAAATCCCGGTTGAGACATCTTGGCCCAAAAAAGAAGAAGGTTTGTTTTTCCCTTTCCTGTCATAACATTATAATTTCCTTTGCTTTTTTCCAATTACAGAGAGCGGGTGCAAGAGGGTGGGCACATAAAAAACTTAATATATTATAAAATAACAGATACAGATATTCAAATAGATTTTAGCTCACTCCCCACCAACCCTTTAGGATTAAGGGTATTTTTTTAGAAACTTTTTTTCTAAAATATAGAAAATAAATTCTATGTTTTTGAACAATTTCGTCCTATATTTAAAAACCTTCTTTCTGTAATATAGATAAAATCGCATATAAATCTAAATCGTGGGCGATTATCTAAAATCAAAGGCGAATTTTTATGTCTTAGAAAAAAAATTGTTTGAGTGTAAATATACATTTACTATATTAATAATGTTAATTGTAATAATTGTTAGCCGGCTCGAGGTTAGGATGTTGAAAAAATAACACAATTTTTTTTTTATTTTGGTTATTTG